GTTGAGAGTATTTATCATGAATGGATGTTGAATTTTGTCAAATGCTTTTTCAGCATCTATGGAAATGATCATGTGTTTTTTGTCCTTTTTTTTGTTGATGTGGTGGATTATGTTGATGGATTTTCAAATGTTGTACCATCCTTGCATTCCTGGGATGAATCCCACTTGATCATGGTGTATGATCCTCTTGATGTATTTTTTAATTTGGTTTGCTAATATTTTGTTGAGTATTTTTGCATCTATGTTCATCAGGGATATTGCTCTGTAGTTTTTTTGTGTGTGTGGTGTCTTTGCCTGGATTTGGTATTAGAGTAATACTGGCTTCATAGATGAGTTTGGAAGTATTTCCTCATCTTCTATTTTTTGGAAAACTTTAAGGAGGATGGGTATTATGTCTTCTCTAAATGTCTGATAAAATGCAGCAGGAATCTATCTGTTCCAGGGGTTTTGTCCTTACGTAGTTTTTTGATTACCGATTCAATTTCATTGCTGGTAATTGTTCTGTTTAGATTTTCTGTTTCTACCTGGGTTAGTCTTGGAAGGTTGTATTTTTCTAGAAAGTTGTCCATTTCTTCTAGGTTATCTAGTTTGTTAGCATATAGATTTTCATAGTATTCTGTAATAATTCTTTTTATTTCTGTGGTGTCTGTAGTGATTTTTCTGTTCTCATTTTTTATTCTGTTTATGTGTGTAGACTTTTTTTTCTTAATGAGTCTGGCTAGGGGTTTATCTATTTTGTTTATTTTCTCAAAGAACCAGCTCTTGATTTCATTAATATTTTCTATTGTTTTATTCTTCTTAATTTTATTTATTTCTTCTCTGACCTTTATTATGTTCCTCCTTCTGGTGACTTTGGGCTTCATTTGTTCTTCTTTTTCCAGTTTCAATAATTGTAAATTTAGACTATTCATTTGGGATTGTTCTTTCTTTAAACAGGCCTGGATTGCTATATACGTCCCTCTTAGAACTGCCTTTGCTGTGTCCCACAGAAGTTGGGGCATTGTGCTGTTGTTTTCATTTGTCTCCATATATTGCTTGATCTCTGTTTTAATTGGTCATTGATCCACTGATTTTTTTTTAGGAGCATGTTGTTAAGCCTCCTTGTGTTTGTGAGCCTTTTTGCTTTCTGTGTACAATTTATTTCTAGCTTTATACCCATGTGGTCTGAGGTGTTGGCTGTTGCAATTTCAATCTTTCTGAATTTACTGAGGCTCTTTTTGTGGCCTAGTATGTGGTCTATTCTGCAAAATGTTCATGTGCACTTAAAAAGAATGTGTATCCTTCTTCTTTTGGGTGTAGAGTTCTGTAGATGTCTGTTAGGTCCATCTGTTCTAATGTGTTTCAGTGCCTCTGTCTCCTTACTTATTTTCTTTCTGATTGATCTGTCCGTTGGAGTGAGTGTAGTATTGGTCTCCTAGAATGAATGAATTACATTCTATTTCCCCTTTTAATTCTGTTAGTATTTCTTTCACTTATGTAGGTGCTCCTGTGTTGGGCGCATAGATATTTATAATGTTTATATCCTCTTGTTGGAATGATCCCTTTATCATTATGTAATGTCCTTCTTTGTCTCTTGTGACTTTCTTTGTTTTGAAGTCTGTTTTGTCTGATACAAGTACTGCAATACCTGCTTGTTTCTCCCTATTAGTTGAATGAAATATCTTTTTCCATCCCTTTGCTTTTAGTCTGTGTATATCTTTGAGTTTGGAGTGAGTCTCTTGTAGGCAAAATATAGTTGTTTTTTTATCCATTCAGTAACTCTGTGTCTTTTGATTGGTGCATTCAGTCTATTTACATTATGGTGATTATCGATAGGTATGTACTTCCTGCCATTGCAGGCTTAAGATTCATGGTTACCAAAGTTTCAAGGGTAACTTCCTTACTATCTAAGAGTCTAACTTAACTCACTTAGTATGCTATTACAAACACAATCTATGGGTTCCTTTTTTTCTCCCTCCTTTCTTCCTCCTCCATTCTTTATATATTAGGTATCATATTCTGTACTCTTCGTCTATCCCTTTATATTATCTCTGGCGACAGCTATTTAACCTTAGGAACACTTCTATCTATAGTAGTCCCTTCAAAACACACTGTAGAGATGGTTTGTGGGGGCTAAATTCTCTCAGCTTTTGCTTATCTGGAAATTGTTTAATCCCTCTTTCAAATTTAAATGATAACCTTGCTGGGTTTAGTATTCTTGGATCAAGGCCCTTCTGCTTCATTGCATTAAATACATCATGCCAATCCCTTCTGGCCTGTAGGGTTTCTGCTGAGGAGTCTGATGATAGCCTGATGGGTTTTCCTTTGCATGTGATTTTATTTCTCTCTCTGGCTTCTTTTAATAGTCTGTCCTTATCTTTGATCTTTGCTGTTTTAATTATTGTATGTCTTGGTGTTTCCTCCTTGGTTCCTTTGTGTTGGGAGATCTGTGTACCTCCATGGCCTGAGAGACTACCTCCTTCCCCAGATTGGGGAATTTTTCAGCAATTACTTCCTCAAAGACACTTTCTCTCCCTTTTTCTCTTTTTCTGGTACCCCTATAATACAAATATTGTTCCATTTGGATTGGTCACACAGTTCTCTCAGTATTCTTTCATTCTTAGAGATCCTTTTTTCCTCTGTGCCTCAGCTTCTTTTCATTCCTCTTCCCTAGTTTCTATTTCATTTATCATCTCCTCCACCATGCCTAATCTGCTTTTAATACCATCCATTGTATTCCTCAATGATTGGATCTCCATCCTAAATTCATTCCTGAGTTCTCAAATGTTTTTCTAACTTTACCTCCATGAGCATGTTAATGATTTTTATTTTGAAATCTTTCAGGAAGATTCATGAGGTTGATTTCTTTTGAATCTTTCTCAGGTGTATTCATAATTTTGCTTTGAATCAGGTTCCCTTGACGTTTCATAAGTTGTCTGTGGTGCCCTCTAGTGTCCTGAAGCTCTTCTCTCTGGAGCTGCTCAGCCCCTGGAGCAATGTTGTTGGGGGTTGCAGGGGAGTGGTGTTGGTGCTTGGAGGGAGGAAAGAGGTGTTTCCTGCTTCCTGGGTACTATGCCTGTCTCCATTGCCAGAACCAGTGGGCGGGGCTTCCCTCTAGCTGGCCTGATGCTAGGGCAAGGGTTGCCAGTTTACGAGCCTGAGCCAGGTACTGGCTAGCCAGGAGGAAGACACAGCAGGCTGCGTATCATGGTCTGGGGCCTTGGAGCTGCGTAGCCAGCCAGAGGGATGGAGCAACTGAAGATCGCTTAAGCTCCCAACCTGCTGGGCAGAGTGCACCCAGACAATTTGTCCACCTGTCCTTTCTCCTGAGCAGTAAGCTCTGTGTAATCCTTGCCCCTTTAGCAGCACTCTCACTGTTAGAAATCTCTCAGACTGCCCATCCAGATCAGCTGGATATGAATCCCTATTTTCCACAAACAGCTGGAATCTCCATCTCTCCAGGTATTCCACCTGTCTTAGCTTTCCAACTGCACCCCTCAGAGCACTGTGTAATGTCAGTTCATGCTCCCAGAGCATATCTCCAGGGCTAGGTGTTCAGCAGTTCCAGGTCTCCACCTCCCTACCCGCTCTGTCTCTCTTCCTCTCACTGGTGAGCTGGGGTGGGGAAAGGGCTTGGGCCCCATCGGGTCACAGCTTTCGTACATTACTCTGTTCCGTGTGGTCTGCTCCTCTCTCCAGGTGTATGCAGTCTGGTGCAGCCTTCTTTCCTGTTGTTCTTTCAGGATTAGTTGTATTAAATTATATTTTCTTATTATATGTGGTTTTAGGAAGAGGTCTCTGTCTCACCTCTCACACTGCCATCTTTAATCCCTGTTCCTGTTTCTTGTACAGGGTTCCTAAAACCCTTGGAATTGTCTAAGTCTAAAATTGTTTTTAACAGTAATTATTCAACTTGCCACTGGAATAGGTTTTACATACCTTTTCCCTGTTTCTAGAAAAGGAATTCCAAAAGTCAGTATAACTATTCTTTATGTAAATCAGAAATATTAACATCATTTTCTTTTCAAATGCTGGGGGGAGGAGTGGAGAGAAATATTTGAGTCACATAACCAGACATATGAAAATATTTTTTTCTCCTCTTCATTAACTCATTCAGCAGATACTTACTGAGTTTAAACTGTGTGATATATACTATGTTAGGCAGTAAGGACATGAGTATGGACAAGACATTCTTCCCTCAAGGAACTGAAATTTGAGATGATCTCTACCACACATAGAAGTATACAGAAATATATATCTAAATCTCACCAAGACCTGAATAATTTCTCACCATAGGTTTGAATACCCCTAAATGAGATGTTATTTGGATAGTTCAAATAACTGCTAGGTTTTCTGACAGTGATTCATTAGATTTTTTTCTCTGGCATATGAAAAAACGTTACACTATCTCATTTTTAATGCCTATATTTTCCTTCTAACAACATTTCATAGGAATCTTATGAAATGTTGCCTGTTCTTAAATCCCCTTACTTTTTTTTATGCCATCCTCTGTTTTTTCCCTAGAGACTCTTCTCTGATTACTGTTCTTAATAACTTACTCCAAATTTCTTCTTTCTTTTCTGTCAATATATTGTTTTGGTAGATTCTTGAAGGGACACCAAGGGGTCTCCAGGTCTCACTGACATGAAACATACACCTTAGGGGCTATGGAGGGAGATATATGACAATAGCACTAATCCTGTGGGCTGAGGTTTTGCTCACATGTATTCCTTAGTGATCAGCATTTGCTGTATGACCTTGGGACTTTTCATAACTTACTTAAATTTCTGGCCCTTCCATTTTACTACACAAGGTTTACTGCGAGGGTTCAATGATTATATGTTATATATATTTATATTCATACAGTGCATTGTATAGCAGAGCAAGCACTTAATAGACATTTTGTTAAAATCTTGTTAAAAGAATTACACTGGCTCAAATAGCAGAGTAAGAGTATATGACAGACTCCAAGTCATACTATTTCATTTAAAATGAATGATTTCTAATTGTTTTATGTCTAGGAAGAACATGTTCTTTTCCAACTTGAAGAAGGGATTGAAACTTTGGAGGCTGCAATTGAATACAAGAATGAAAATATCAAGAGTCGCCAGAACTCGCTCAGAGCTTCACTCCAAAACGTCCCTCATAGTGAAGCAAATGTCTTGGGAAAACTAATTTGCCTGCATCCTCTTGAGATTAGAGCTATTCTTTTGAGATATTTCAATAAGGTTTGTTTTTGAAGGATAGTTTTCCTATAAAAAGGGTCAAGCTTATCTCACATTTATTTACAATTTTTAAAGAAATTGAAAGACCTAAAAATTCTTATGATGTAACTACAGATTTAATCTTGATTTCTCTTTACATTGCTGATTGTAGTCTTCTGAAAACTTTGTGCTTATCCAAGTATGTAGGCCTAACGTGATGAGGTTTTTAAAGTTGCAGGCCTTTTGAAAGAAGAGCTTTTTGAAATAGTTTTAAAAACCAAAGAATTTAAGTTATATTCCTCAGTCACTATTTCTTGGATATTTTCTGGATTTGCTTGTTGCTACTCAGCATTCATGAAAAATCAAGGCCCTCCAATCTTGGGTTTCCTTGCCTTCACTGCTGTAGTGTTGGGGACACCAGCACTTTCTCACCACACACCGAACTGAAATGCAGATAAAGTGTGCATCAGTGATTGTCGTAGATTTTAGCATGAGCCTGAATGTGCTTAACATCAAGTAAAATATTTCATTTTATATGAATTTTACAACTTACTGAAGTAGAGATGTATCACAGCATTGAGAAATATATCCATCTTTTCTCTAATGTCTTCACTTAAGATACTGATTAAGAAGTAGTAGACAAGTAGATAAGGAATACCAGATAATTAATGAAAACAAAACACTGAGGTTTGAAATAAAGTTCTAATCCTGTTAGACAAGTAAAATAAAGATGAAAAGGTGATAGAAATGTTACATACCACCTTCCTCTTGTATAATTACTGTCAGTAGTAAGCTACTATTATTGATGAGAATGCATCCTTTTGCTGGGTATATGGGAGACAGAAAAATGGTGTAGGACTCTCTGAGGCCCTGATATAGGTAATTTTCTTTTGGTGTTTTTAGAGCAAGGGTCCTTAACCCAAAGCACGGTCAGTGGATTTTGTGATTCTGAGAACGCTTTGAAGAAATAAATATTTTTCTGGAGACAAGGTCATTACATTGTTAACAAGTTCTGTGACACAGACATTTTCTGAAGTATTTTTACTTTGTATCAGTTCAGAGAAGAACCCATTGGACTAAATGCACCATCTGACACCTAATTCTATTTATTGTCTAAAAAATTCTGCCCCTTATTTATAACATCCATTTTGTAGTTAAAACTGGGCATTATCTAGATATTACAAGAGTCTTTAGATTCTCAATGCCTTCTTAGACTAGAGAAACAGAGTTTAGGACTGCTATAGATGTAAGCTACAGAGATCACGTCTAAGAAATGATGGAGGGGTACTGTTAGAGCAACATCGTATGTGAACTCAAATAGTTACTAATTCAGAATCCCATCAAAAGGCTGTTAGGATATTTTGGGGTATTTTACAAAGCATTTGCCTAGTTATACCATGATGATTAAGAAAGTTCTTTATGTAGCATAAGAGAAGTAGATTAATGTGTTATATTAAGCTATCTAAGACATCTTTAAAAAGTAAAAAATGTCTTTGCTAGGTGGTTAATTTGCGAGAAGCTGAAAAGAAACTACAGTTACAGAATGAAGAATCTAAAATTAAGGTTTTGGAACAGGATAATATGGTTCGTGAGTTGGAATCTGCACTGGAACATCTGAAATTGCAGTGTGACCGGAGACTGACCCTCCAACAAAAGGAACATGAACAAAAAATGCAGCTGCTGTTACATCATTTCAAAGGTACTTGCCCCTTCTCATCAGTTGTGTTATGGTGCTGTGCAGGAGAGGGTTAGGGAAGGAAGGGTGGATTTGAACACATAAAAGCCTAACATGTATAAATAGTTACCACTTATACATGTTTTTGTGCTTTACATGTCCTAGTTACCCTATGCTAGAATGTTGTCGTTGATGTAGAGCTGTTCGTGGTAGAAATGCCATCCCTTCTGCCTGTCCCCGGGCCATGCATAAGAATTGTAATCCTATTAATTTGTTCTTGGTCTAGTTTTTCTGTACAAATGTGGGATGACGTCTGGCTTTGTGATACACAGAAGTTTCTCTCTCCAAAGGTTTTAGTACTTTGATATTTAAATTACTTCCTATCAGAAAATTAAACTGATAGGCTCTGTTAGATTTCTAGCTACCTTTCTCATTATACTTTTCAGTTGATTGTAAATTTTACACATTAGATTATATCTGAGGTCAAAATTAGTATGCCATTGAAAGATGGCAGCATGAGGGGTGGGACAGAGGCCTCCTCCTAAAACTACATATAATATGAAAATATAATTAATACAACTAATCCTGAAAGAGCAACAGGAAAGAGGGCTGTGCCAGACTACATACATCTGGTAAAAAGAATAAACCTCATGGAACATGGTAACATATCAAAGCCGTGGCCAGGCGGGACCCAATCCCATCCCCTACCCCATCTCACCAGTGGGAGGAAGAGAAACAGAATGAAGAGGGAGTGGAGGCATGGGACTGCTGAACATCTAGCTATGGAAAGCTGCTCTGGGAGCACAACCCTTCATTACATGATGCTCTCATAATTAGGCGGGTTGGAAAGCTAAGACACACAGAATGCATGGAGAGACTGAGATTCCAGCTGCTAGTGGAAAACAGGGATCCATATCTGGCTGCTCTGGGGCAAAAGAGAGGCAGGCAATCTGAGAGACTTCCTAACAATGAGAGGGCTGCTAAAGTGGCAAGGATTGCACAGAATTTACTGCTCAGGAGAAAGGACAGGTAGACAAAATTATCCAGGTGCACTCTGCCCAGCAGGTTGGGAACTTTCACGATCTTCAGGTGCTCCATCCCCCTGGTTGGCTACGCAGCTCCAGTGCCCACATCTGTGATATGCACCCTGCTGCACCTTCCTCCCAGCCAGCCTGCAACCTGGCTTTCAACCTGGCAAACCCTGCCCTGGCGTCAGGCTAGCCAGAGGGAAGCCCAGCCTACAGCAGCTACAAACGTAAAGCATAGAGGCTTATACCTGTGTGCTTGGCCCACTGGATCTGGCAGTGGAGACAGGAATAGCATCAGGGAATCAGGAAACACCTCTTCCTCCCCCCAGGCAATGCCACCATTCCCCTATGACCTCTGACATTGCTCCAAGGGCTGAGCAGCTCCAGAGAGTAAAGCTTCTGGGCACTCGAAGGCGCCACATACAAATATGAAATGTCAAAGAAGCCTGGTTCAGAGCAGAATTATAAATACGCCAGAGAATGAGTCAAATGAAATCAACCTCATGAATCTTCCTAAAAGAGATTTCAAAATAAAATAAAGAGCTCATGCACCTCAACAACAACAAAAAAGCAAATAAGCCAATTAAAAAATGGGCAAAGGATCTGAAAAGACACTTCTCCAAAGAAGAAATTCAAATGGCCAACAGGCACATGAAAAGATGCTCCACATCACTAATCATCAGAGAAATGCAAATTAAAACCACAGGGAGATATCACCTCACACCAGTTAGGATGGCCAACATCCAAAAGACAAACAACAACAAATGTTGGCAAGGATGTGGAGAAAGGGGAACCCTCCTACACTACTGGTGGGAATGTAAACTAGTTCAACCATTATGGAAAGCAGTATGGAGGTTCATCAAAACACTCAAAATAGAAATACCATTTGACCCAGGAATTCCACTCCTTGGAATTTACCCTAAGAATGCAGGAGCCCAGTTTGAAAAAGACATATGCACCCCTATGTTTATTGCAACACTATTTACAATAGCCAAGAAATGGAAGCAACCTAAGTGTCCATCCATAGATGAATAGATAAAGAAGAAGTGGTACATATACACAATGGAATATTATTCAGCTATAAGAAGAAAACAAATCCTACCATCTGCAGAAACATGGATGGAACTAGAGGGTATTATGCTCAGTGAAATAAGCCAGGTAGAGAAAGACAAGTATCAAATGATTTCACTCATCTGTGGAGTATAAGAACAAAGAAAAAACTGAAGGAACAAAACAAAAGCAGACTCACAGAACCCAAGAATGGACTAACAGTTACCAAAGGGAAAGGGACTGTGGAGGATGGGTGGGAAGGGAAGGATAAGCAGGTAAAAGGAGCATTATGATTGGCACACATAATGGGTACACAGGAAAGCAGTATACACAGAACAAGTAATGACTCTATAGGATCTTATTAAGCTTATGGACAGTGACTGTAATGGGGTACGTTGTGGTGGGGACTTGATAATAGGGGGAGTCTAGTAACCATAATGTTGTTCAGGTAATTGTACATTAACAATACCAAAGAAAAAAAAGAAAAAAGAAAAAGAAAAGCAGCCAGAGAGCAAAATAAGATCACATACAAAGGAAAACCCATCTCAGGCTATCAAGACTTCTCAGCAGAAACCTTATAGGCCAGAAGGGAGTGGCATGATATATTTAATGCAATGACGCAGAAGGGCCTAGAACGAAGAATACTTTATCCAGCAATATTATCATTTAAATTTGAAGGAGGGATTAAACAATTTCCAGATAAGCAAAAGCTGAGAGAATTTAGCTCCCACAAACCATCTCTACAGTGTATTGTGCAGGAACTGCTAAAGGTGCAAGTGTTCCTAAGGTTTAATAGCTGTCACCAGAGGTAATAAAACCACAGTAAACAATGTAGAACAGTTAATTACTAAGGAAATGCAAAATTAAATCAAGTGCCCCCAAAGTCAATCAAGGGATAGACAAAGAGTACAGAAAATATTACCTAATATACAAAGAATAGAGGAGGAAGAAAAAGGTGGAGAAAAAAAGAACATTTAGATTGTGTTTGTAATAGCATACTAAGTGAGTTAAGTCAAACTTTAGGTAGTAAGAAAGTTAACCTTGAACCTTTGGAAACCATGAATCTAAAGCCTGCAATGGCAGTAAGTACATACCAATCAATAATCAACCTAAATGTAAATGGTTTAAATGCCCAATCAAAAGACATAGAGTCACTGAATGGATAAAAACACAAGATCCATCTATATGCTGCCTACAAGAGAATCACTTTAAACTCAATGACATACACAGACTAAAAGTGAAGGGATGGAAAAGGTATTTCATGCAACCAATATGGAGAAAAAAGCATGAGTTGCAGTACTTGTATCAGATAAAATAGACTTCAAAACAAAGAAAGTCACAAGAAAAGAAAGACATTACGTAGTGATAAACAGGTCAATCTAACAAGAAGATATAACTATTATAAATATCTATGCACCCGACACAGGAGCACCTACATATATGAAAGATATACTAACAGAATTAAAAGGGGAAATAGAATGCAATGCATTCATTCTAGGAGACTTCAACACTCCACTCACTCCATTGGACAGATCAACCAGACAGAAAATAAGTAGGGAGACAGAGGCACTGAACAACACACTAGAACAGATGGACCTAACAGACATCTACAGAACTGTACACCCAAAAGCAGCAATATACACATTCTTCTCAAGTGCACATGGAACATTTTCCAGAATAGACCACATACTAGGCCACAGAAAGAGCCTCAGTAAATTCAAAAATCGTACCAACCAGCTTCCCAGACCACAAAGGTATGAAACTAGAACTAAATTATGCAAATAAAATTAAAAAAACCACAAACACATGGAGGCTTCACAACATGCTGCTAAATAACCAGTGGATCAATGACCAAATAAAAAAAACAGAGATCAAGCAATATATGGAGACGAATAACAACAAAAATTCAACACAGCAAAACCCGTGTGATGCAGCGAAGGCCATACTAAGAGGGAAGTGTATTGCAATACAGGCCTACCTCAGGAAAGAAGTATCCTGAGGTAAAGAAAGCAATCCCATATGAACAGTCTAAACTCACAATTAATGAAATTAGAAAAAGAAGAACAAATGAGGCCCAAAGTCAGTAGAAGGAGGGACATAATAAATATTAGAGCAGAAATAAATAAAATTGAGAAGAATAAAACAATAGAAAAAATTAATGAAACCAAGAGCTGGTTCTTTGAGAAAATAAAGAAAATAGATAAACACCTAGCTAGACTTATCAAGAAAAAAAGAGAGTCTATACACATAAACATAATGAGAAAGGAGAAATCACTATGGACACCACAGAAATACAAAGAATTATTAGAGAATACTATGAAAAATTATATGCTAACAAACTGGATAACCTAGAAGAAATGGACAATTTTCTAAAAAAATACAACCTTCCAAGGCTGACCTAGAAACAGAAAATCTGAATAGACCAATTACCAGCAACGAAATTGAATTGGTCATCAAAAAACTACCTAAGAACAAAATCCCTGGACCAGATGGCTTCACTGCTGAATTTCATGAGACATTTAGTGAAGACCTAGTACCCATCCTCCTTAACATTTTCCAAAAAGTAGAAGAGATTATACTTCCAAACTCATTCTACATGGTCAGCATCTCTCTAATACCCAAACCAGGAAAAGACACCACAAAAAAAGGAAATTACAAACCAATATCCCTGATGAACACAGATTCAAAAATACGCAACCAAACATTAGCAAACCGAATTAAAAAATATATCAAAAAAAATCCACTAGGATCAAGTAGGATTTATTCCAGGGATGCAAGGATGGTGCAACATTCGAAAATCCATCAACATCATCCATCACATCAACAAAAAGTAGGACAAAAACCACATGATCATCTCCATAGATGCCGATAAAGCATTCAACGAAATTCAGCATCCATTCTTGCTAAAAACTGTCAACAAAATGGGTATAGAGGGCAAGTATACCTCCACATAATAAAGGCCATATATGACAAACCCACAGCCAACATCATACTTAACAGTGAGAAGCTGAAGGCCTTTCCTTTAAGATCGGAGACAACAGAAGGATGCCCACTCTCTCCATTTTTATTCAACATAGATCTGGAGGTCCTCGCCACAGCAATTAGACCATTCAAAGAAATAAAGGGCATCCAGATTGGTAAGGAAGAAGTTAAACTGTCCCTGATTGCAGATGACATGATATTGTACATAAAAAACCCTAAATAATCCACTCCATAACTAGATCTAATATCTGAATTCAGCAAAGTTTCAGGGTACAAAATTAATACACAGAAATATTTTGCATTCTTATATACTAACGATGAACTAGCAGAGGGAGAGATCAGAATAACAATTCCCTTCACAATTGCATCAAAAAGAATAAAACACCTAGGAATAAGCCCAATCAAGGAAGTGAAAGACCTATACTTTGAAGACTACAAGACACTCATGAGAGAAATAAAGAAGATACCAATAAATGGAAACACATCCCATTCTCATGAATAGGAAGAGTTAACTTTGTTAAAATGGCCATCCTGCCTAAAGCAATATATAGATTCAATGCAATTCCTTTCAAAATACCAACAGCATTCTTCAACAAACTAGAAAAAATAGTTCATATGGAACCACAAAAGACCCTGAATAGCCAAAGCAATCCTGAGAAGGAATAATAAAACTGGGGGATTATGGTTCCCAACTTCAAGCTCTACTACAAAGGCACAGTAATCAAGACAATTTGGTACTGGCACAAGAACAGACCCATAGAACAATGGAACAGACTATAGAGCACAGATATAAACCCAACCATATATGGTCAATTAATATACTATAAAGGAGCTGTGGACATACAATGGGGAAATGACAGCCTCTTCAACAGCTGGTGTTGGCAAAACTGGACAGCTACATGCAAGAGAATGAAACTGGATTATTGTTTAATCCCATACACAAAAGCAAACTTGAAATGGATCAAAGACCTGAATGTAAGTCATGAAACCATAAAACTCTTAGAAGACAACATAGGCAAAAATCTCCTGAATATAAAAAGGAGCAACTTCTTCCTGAACACAACTCCTTGAGCAAGGGAAACAAAAGCAAAAATGAATACATGGGAGTACATCAAACTAAAAAGCTTCTGTATGGAAAAGGACACCATCAACAGAACAAAGAGGCATCCTACAGTATGGAAGAATTTATTTGTAAATGATGTATCTGACAAGGCGTTAACATCCAAAAGTATAAAGAACTCACATGCCTCAACACCCAAAAAGCAAACAACCCAATTAAAAATGGGCAGAGGATATGAAGAGATACTTCTCCAAAGAAGAAATTCAGATGGCCAACAGGCACATGAAAAGATGCTCCACATCATTAATTATCAGGGAAATGCAAATTAAAACCACAATGAGATATCACCTCACAGCAGTAAAGATGACTAGCATCAAAAAATCTAAAAACAACAAATGCTTGTGAGGATGCGGAGAAAGGGGAACCCTCCTACACTGCTTGTGGGAATGTAAGCTAGTTCAACCATTGTGGAAAGCCATATGGAGGTTCCTCAAAAAACTAAAAATAGAAATACCATTTGACTCGGGAATCCCACTCCTTGAAATTGACCCAAAGAATACAAGTGCTCAGATTCCAAAAGACATACGCACTGCTATGTTTATCGCAGCACTATTTACAATAGCCAAGATATAGAAGCAACCTAAGTGTCCATCAGTAGATGAATGGATAAAGAAGTGGTACATATACACAATGGAATACTATTCAGCCATAAGAAAGAAACCATTTGCAACAATATAGGTGGAGCGGGAGGATATTATTCTCAGTGAAATAAGCCCGGCGGAGAAAGACAAGTACCAAATGATTTCCTTCATTTGTGGAGTATAACAATGAAAGAAAACTGAAACAACCAAACAGCAGCAGACTCACAGACTCCAAGAAGGGACTAGCGGTTACCAAAGGGGAAGGGTGTGGGAGGGTGGGTGGGGAGGGAGGGAGAAGGGGATTGAGGGGTATTTTGTTTAGTACACACGGTGTGAGGGGTCACGAGGAAAACTGTAGCACAGAGAAGGCCAATATTGAAATCTGTGGCATCTTACTTCACTGATGGACAGTGACTGCAATGGGGTATGGGTGGGGACTTGATAATATGGATAAATGTAGTAACCACATTGTTTTTCATGTGAAACCTTCATAAGAATGTATATCAACAATACCTTAATAAAAAATTAAAAATAAATGAATAAGTAAATAAAATAAATGAAGTATAACCTAATAAAAGTAACAACACATTAATGTTAAAAAAATTAGTCTACCATTGATGAGTATCGTGCATAATGGTTCAGCTGTCCAATCTGATGTGGAAAAAGCTGTCATAGCAACTGGTCCTCATGTTACCTGGGTTTATGGCCACTACATAGAAAGTTGCTATGGTAACAGAATCACTTTCTGGTGATACCAGTAATGCTTCAATCCAGGCTGCTTAGCTGCTTTTTCTTGATTCTTGGTGAATTGATAGCTGAAAATGGGTTAAAAGGAATCTGGAAGAAGCAACCTGAGTAAGTAGAAAATTGGAAAATACGTGAATTTGGGTGTTGAGACAGTTTGTTTCTAATTCTATAACCAGTATTTATCACTCAGATGCCTGACAGGATTTCCTTGACAGGATCCCATTCGTGTTTTCATTGAAACATGCTCTCCTTACTGTATTTTAGTTCAGTGTTTAGTCTCTAAAAGTGATATTCTAATAGAATTTTGAATGTGTTTTTCAAGTGATTGGCTTTGTACCACAAAAGCTCATGCTATAGCCAAGTGCATACATTTAAAAAATCATTCATTTACAGCAAAATTGTGACTGAAAATGTTAATGATTTATGAATTTTCTAATTTCAACTATGAGTATGGGACTTAAAATTAAATTGATTTACATGATATCCTTTGTGAGGATTCTGATTTATGGTGTTATTAAAGTATTATTTTTAACAAGATGATGTGTTAATTTAAAATATACAGATATACCTAGATCAAATTTTACAAAACAGCCAATTACAACAAAACAAAATTACAAACCAGTGGGACCATTTTATAAATTATCTAATACAGAGTAGATTGGAAAGCATGAATTTCAGTAAACTAGATTTTACTGATTGTAGAAGATAACCCAATTGAGACAGTTTTAGACATTCACAAATATTAATTGGAAGCTTTAAGTAATATTGTAGTATAAGCTAGAACTTTACTTACACTATTACCCCCTCTTCTCCTTTTTTGTGGTGTTTTCCTTTGTGATTTAATCTTCTGGCCTCTTTTGACAGGTTTTTTTTTATGGGGGGGTTTTGGCTTTATAGTTCTTGGGCCTAATGAATCTTAAGCTTATGACTTTCCACATATCCACAGTTCTGTATGTAAACTTTACAAAAGATAATGATGAGTTCCAAATGTGGCCTTTTTATGAAAACACCTTACTTCTGCTGTTCTAATACTTATGAATCATGAAAATGTGGTAGTTGGTAGGGATTAGAGTAGAGAAGGTGACTAAGGGCAGAAGAGTCCAGATTTTATCTGAAAATAAATTCAGGTATCAGATAGATGTTTAAATATAGTCTTTAAATATAGTCAATAATTTTCAATCTGATTATTGAAACTGATTTGAATATAAACTACTGTTTTATAGAACAAGATGGGGAAGGCATTATGGAAACTTTCAAAACATATGAAGATAAAATCCAGCAGCTGGAGAAAGATCTTTATTTCTATAAGAAAACCAGCAGAGATCTTAAGAAGAAACTTAAGGAACTGGAAGGGACAGCAATTCGGTGGCAACTAGCACCATCTGAACGTAAGACATTTAGTGTCACTTGTCATGCTGACACTGCTACCCTGGCATTTGGTGAAGCCATGCCTTATCTGTAGTTAACCTTTACTAATTGATTTGGTCATTTAAGATTAGACATTTAACTTCTGTTTGTCTATGTAAACAAAAACAGTTGTCCAGTCTATGTGTAAGACAGAAAAAATCCCAGGACAAGTGAATGAACAAATGTGTAGTGTGGAGGAAACTTCATGTATTGTTGCCTTTTGTATTTGCTGACTTAAAATAACCCATAGTCTAAGATAGCTGCTGTTTTCCTTTTTCATGGTATTCTAAGCCTTCTGATTATCACAGACATAGAGAAAGAAAGAAAAAAAGAGAGAGGAAAAGAGAGAAAGAAAGAAAGAAAGCTACTTTACAAAAGTAAAAAGTGCTATGATTGAAATGGACCCTCTATGAGCCTGCCAATTAGAAAGGATTCAGTATTTCTAGAGAAAGTATTCTTCTAGTAATTTAAATATGGTTTAGGAAAAGTTGATTGTACAGCCTTTTAGGAACACACCCTTTTTGTATCTGTAAAGAAAATTGCTTAAAATGGGTACAACAAGATTGTAAAGAGGCCAGTGAAAAATTATGTGTATGCATAATGAAAAGATACATGCTGAATATATAATATAAGCAGAATTAACATAGTTTCAAATTTTTTAACTCACTAATATCTTAGAAAAGTAGTTTCTAAATTTATGATGTTTATAATTTATAGACATTTTCAGAAGTAGTTCCATTTAACCCTTAAACTCAAAGTAAGCCAGTGTCTGCTAACCCCACTTTTAGATGAAGGAATTGAAACTTTGAAAGGTCAAGTGACTCATGAACAGAACAGTAATTAGAACATGGTCTAACTTACTTTGTCTTCTGACTCCTGCTCTAGTATTCTAGGATAAAAGTTGTCTTATGATAGAGATGTGATACACACATACAAATCTTGCCAAACAGACTAAACTTTCTGATTTTCAGTGTAGTAATGCAGAGGTACTGATACAGTTAAATTACTTAAAATACTGCCGGCAGTATATAGCTGAGCCTTTTCCTTGGAACACTACTTGCAAAAAAATGAAAACACAAAGAAGTATTAAGTAGTAAACAGAACAATCAGCATAAAAACATTTATAGATTTAAGAAAATTCACTTTCAAATTTGAGATATCTGAACTTAGGTATCTAGCATTTAAATGGCCCATGTTTACACTACTAAGACTACTAGACAGCTCTTAAAAAGCAGTGGTATGTTGGTATACAGGCTTAAGAAACTTAGGTCATCATCCTATTCTTTAATGAAACAAACACAGAAAGCTTTAAAAAAGTTAAATCATCTTGGAAATTTGTGAAGTGATGACTATACCTGTCTGACCAACTTACTTGGGAAGTCTAGTCTTAATAGTAATGTTGAAGATATTATTTCAGCTAATTTTCTATTCCACCTAGAAACATCTTAAATACTTTTATTTTTTGGTTGTATAAAGTAATATATAATCAGTATAGAAAAATATGAAAATATAGAAAAGAAGCAGAGAAAATAAATCACCCATAATCCTACCCACAACTATTAACATTTAGCATATTTCTTCTCAATATTTTCCCTGTGCTTTAAAAGAAATATGTTGGAATTGTATTGGGGATATAGCTTTGTACTATATCCTATCTTAAAATGCTACTCTAATATAATGACATTAAACAAGATTTGTTTGAATTATAAAATATAACAATGTAAATATATCAAATTCTGAATTCCCAAAAAAGTATTATATTCTTAATCATCAGTATCCCAGTTAATACATAACTGTCTTGATATTCAGTTCATTGTTTTTGATAGTAGCATTTTCATTGCCTACTAGACTTGTTTTTCTCTTCTTTGAGTGTTTCTAGCATTTTCAAATGCAAAAAAATTAATCTTTGACTAAAATATCTTGGTCACTTCTTGGTCATGTTTCTCTTATAGTGCACCTGTTTTCTAACATGTTTTGTGGGAGTAAAATTAGTTTATGAGGACAGGCAGTGTATGCACTTCTTTAAGTATTTAAAACTCTATCCTGCATCATTTTATTATTTTTTTAACTGAAATAGAGCTGATACACAAATTTAATACTGGTTTCAGGTATACAACATAGTGATTTGACAGGTATATACATTACAAAATGTTCACCATGATAAGTAGAGTTACCATATGTCAACATAGAAGGTATTATGTTTTTGAGTATATTCCCCATGCTGCTTTTATCCCCATGACTAACTTATTTTATAACTGGAAGTTTGTACCTCTTTATCCCCTTCGCCTATTTCGTGAGCACCCCCTGCCACCCCATCTTTTTAAATCACTATAGAACTATGTGAGGACACTAGAACCAGAAGATCTGGGTTGAAACTTAACTTCTTTTACTAGCTGTGTTACTTTGGGTGAATTAATCTTTCTCTAGTTTGTTCCCTAATGGTAAAATCCTGCAAGAGGGAAACTTTCTATTGTGAAGAATCCAAGTGGGTTGAGAATGCACCTCGCTGGTGAGCCCATCTCTACTCCTTCACGTGTGATCTTTAACGAGTAAGATGCCTGGCTCCTTCCCCAAGACACTGCTGAATGGGCATCAGGATTGTTAAAAGCTTCCTGTGACTATAAGGTGCCGTGAGGTTCAGGAGCAACTGTCTGTGGTCAGCTTGGCGAGTATCTGCGAGTCCTATGTAAGGATCTGTATCAGTTGCTAGTTTTCATTTTTTGTTTGTGAGAGAATTTTAAAAACTAAAATCAAGTATGTTTTAAGCCAGGGGTCACCACCTAAAATGCCTGTAGGAGCCAGCGAAATCAGGGTGAGCAATGGGGACTGCAGCAGTTATTTGAACTCTGCTCTAGCCGCTGTCACCAGGCAGAAATGATCAGGTCACATTGTTTCTAGAATAGTTGGAAATCTATATTTTTATATGAAACTTTCCAAGTTTTAAATTTTGGGTCATATTTTATAGGCTAAGCAAACATGTTTGTAAGTGTTGTATACTTGAAATCAATATAATATTGTGTATCAACTATACTTAAATAAAAAAAAATAAATAAAAAAGCAAAATAAATAAAATCATGTCTGTGGGCCAGATTTGGCTTGGGAGCTGCCAATGTGCAACTTCTGTTTTTAAACTTGGCATTTGCAGGACCAGTAGGGCAAACTAGTGTACTGATCACGAATCAACGAAAGTTAAAGTTGTCATTTTTCATTATATTAGTTCTAGCATCTATAGGGACTGACTTTAAGCAATTTTATCTTTGATGTTAGGTAGTTTGATGATTTGAGGACTTCAGGCTTTGATCTCTTCATTCATATCACTCATTCCAGCAGGGTGCCCCCCTGAGGGGGTATACTCTCATCTTCATTTTGATGGTGGTACTCCAGAGTACCTTCAGAGAGCAGAACACTGTTATCACACTGGCAGGGCTAACCATGACTAGATTTTCACACATATGATGCCAAGTCCCAGAAGATTTCCTGGAGATCCAAGGCAGAGCTTCACTTAGAATATGATTCACCAGTGGCAAGCCCAGTGGAGGGCAGGCTTTGAAGCCTGTGAGCACCAGTGAGCGCCAGTGAGGCCTAAGGCACTCCTGTTTCCAGGCAGTGCCAAAACCACTAGAAGACTATTTCTTAACTTTGTTATATAAATTAAAACTTCTCAGTTATTCACTTGCAAGATGCCTCTAAGTGAAATAAGAATAATTCATATTCACATTTTTGTTTCAAAGAAGTCAACAAAAAAAACCGAAAGACATAACTTCTATTGAGTGATAATTAGATCTTTTAGGATATGATTAAAAACCTGTTTTTGAGGAAATCTCTCATTTTTTTTTCTTTTTGGATTATTTTTAGATCATGATGCTGGAGATGGAGTCCTGAACCCAGAAGAAGCAAGTATGATTCCAGAAGAATTAAAATGGGCATCCAGAACTGAAAGTATGAAATTAAGTGTAAGGGAAAGAGAATTAGACAGTTCATCAAGCAGCTTAAGCACACAACCAAATCCTCACAAGCTCAGGGAAGATGGCCAAGAATTGCCTCGAATTTATAGCTCTTTAGCACCCACTAGTGGACATTTGTTAAACAATGAGGCTAAAACAGAAATAGATGGAAATCTGTTTACAAAATCTCATAGTCGATCATCACCCCAAGTTCAACCAGTGGGAAGTGTGGGACAGCTTCATGGTATCACACCTGTAAAGCTGTGTCGCAAGGAGTTACGTCAGATTTCTGCGTTGGAACTATCATTACGACGTTCCAGTCTGGGAGTTGGGGTTGGATCTATGACTGCTGATTCCATTGAAGTAGCTAGGAAACAAGAGTGACTTAAAAACTTAGGCATTTAATGATAGAACTTTTAATTTAGTACATATATAAGATACCTTTTTCTAACCTGGTAAAAAGTCAAGCTTAAGTTCACTAGCTCTTCTCTCAGGATAGAGGAAGAGAAGGAAGGAATCCTTTTGTAGTCTACAGATGTATACATCTTCTATAGTATATTTGGGGAGTTTTAATGTGTATTTCCACAATAACCAAATACACACACTTTCCAATACTATCAAGTAATGGAATATTTAAATACATCCATATATAAATTTGCTTAAAATTTTTTCCAGGCATATTTGAAGAACAAAACTAAGAATAGAATAATAAACTAATATATCCATCAAATGTAATGTTATTATATAATATAAAAATATAAAAGTATAATACATTAAATGTAATATCTTACAAGTTTATATTATTGTTGTTTGCAAATACAAGTATAAAAAGATCCAGTTAAATAGTGCTTGTGTGAGAGGGAGAGTCACTTGCTGCATATATGTTGGCATAGCTGAAAATTGTGCCAAAATGCCATCTCTGGGCTAAGGCAACTAGGTAGGTTTACGGGTAAGGTCAATTTATGGGCTTCAGAGCCCACAGATAGTATTGGAAAGTGTGTGTATTTGGTTATTGTGGAAATAAACATTAAAACTTCAGAGCCCACAGAGGTTGAGTGATTAGTCTTGACTTTTAAAACATGGCCTCTACTCTTTTTTGGAATTGTCTTTAGAATGTTATATTATTGATTTGCTAATAGTATGGAATATACATTTTCATCTCTCTCCTGCCCTATATACTCAACACATCTCTCTTGCTACTAAAATTGGGAGAAATGGACGCAATTCCATGGAACAGGGAAACAATAATAGAATGATACTGAAGCATTCTAACATTTCAAGGAAAAGAGATCTTGTTGCATGGAGTAAACCTATAAAGCCTGAAGTCTAGCCAGAGGATCTTTAGCTAATACTCAGATTTTTCTCTATGACCTGCTCAGTTGGGTCTTGCACACAGGCAGGCCAGACTATATACGGAGGCTGTAAATATGTAAATGAAAATTTTCTTAAAATATTTTTTTGGTGTAAATTTTATATAATATAAACTTCAGTTTGGAATTAAGAACTAAATATTGATTTGCCCAAAAAATACACTTTGTACTTTTTCACATTTTTCAGTCACAGTAATCATTCCATTATAATGACCAGAGGTATTAGTTTGTGAATTTATGTTGTTATTTTTGTTACTTTTCCAAACTTGTAAAATAAAGTTGTTTCTTAAACTAATTAGCATTTGGGTGGGGAGGAGCAAAACCGCCCTTACTCTGAGCCTACTCACTTAGAATCACCCACTGCCTGTGCCTCCATTTTTTCTTCTCTGATGATATAGTAATTTTTTCTTTTGACCTTTCTTCTGTTGCTATTGACCTGACCATCTTATCTAAGATGCAAACTGTCACCCTGTGCTCAAAGACTTAAGGTTTCCTCTTTCTAGTTGCTATCTCCTAGGGAGTAGGGTTCCTTGGCCCCACAGCTAAAAACAGTACCTATAGGAGAAGAATAACAAACTTATAAACTGGTGAAGAGTCTCTATTTATCTCTTAAACATAGTACTAAAAATTTATTTAAATTATAGGTTAAATAGACTTCTGTGGACTTAACCTGGGAACTAAACCCTGTGTGTATATATCATCACCCAGTAAGAAACTGGTTCAAACTGACTTGGAAATTTTAATTTTAACAGGGACTATTTGAAGTCAGATTCTGGTTTTAAGCCCCTCTTTCTTCCCTTGGCTTGTATGATATATACTTAATATATATCATATTGTGTGTGTGTGTGTGTGTGTGTGTGTGTGTGTGTGTGTGTGTGTATAAAATGGCAAAAGGCCAGTGCCTTAATAAACCATAACAATTACATATTTTATCAGTAAATACATATTTATATCAAATAAATACTTCATTAATGAAGGTCTAATTGTAAATTCCTTATAATATTATGTAATAATTTATAAATTATTTATATAACAATATATTCTGACTTGGAATCCTGCTTGCCTAATAAATTGACATATTTATTTAACCTGTGGAACTATAAATACCCTTTCTAAAAGCCAACTCACTAACAAAGCAAGCAAGTTTGTATTAAACCAACAATGGTCAGATTTGATAATGCAAATGTGGACTGACTTCTAAATAACAAATGTAAAATTTTTTCTTCCTTTTGGTTAAACATATCTCCTTTATATACTATGATACACTTCATTATCATACACAAACATACATATATAAATAGTATATTCTGGAAGTAAACTTCTTGTCATTCTATTTAGACAGTGCCCTCACAAAGGAAAGAAAAATAAAGGTGTAAAGTTTTTTTTACATATACTAAATAATAAATTTAGCTCTCTGTTTCACATACTTTCCTTAATCTAAACATTTTGTCATTGTGTTTGCCTTTTTGCATGTATATAAAATATATTTATGGTTTTCTCTTTTTGTTCATTGTTTTTTTATCTCACCTATAACAACAGCATTTGAAAGGAAATATTATTTGCCCCACAGAGTGCCAGTTCCTTCCCTAACTCCAGAGTGTTATAGGTAAGAGTTGGAGAATAAGTATGGGTACTGTGGGTAAGAACACCACTGAGGTGCTTTTTGCTTTAATATTTGTGTTCTTTTGCTTGTGTTTTTTGTTTTGTCCTTCAGTTCTTCATATCTTCATGAACTTAAGATCAAAGGAGTCAACAAAATCCATATGATCTTCAGTAATGTGGGCTTCATTCCCAGTAGCCATTGGCTTATTTATTAGTCTAGATCAAAAAAATGATAAATGTTTATTTAAGAATGGGTGTCTTACAAGAAAAAAATAGTACAGGTCTTGGTACCAAGTATTAGAATGAATTGCTAAAGAGTCAAATTCTTAGTGGGAGTTTGGTTCTATAGTCTAAATTCACATGCATTAAATGCAAGCATGACATGTTTTGCTCTTTCAGTGATTTCCTTAGGTACATATCTGTGAATATGTGTTTTAAAACACTGGGTTATCAATACCTGAAAGCTCATTGTCCATAGTATATGTAAGTTTGATGCCCACTCATGTCCCCAGTAATTTCAACTTTAATGGAATTATAAAAAATATTCATTATGGGTATTTTACATTTAAAGTTATAACAGGCTGCTGTCCGTAGTACTGATAACACATTCTTCTACATTATCTTTTCAAAAATTGAAAATTAAGGTGGTAAAGAGATCCTTCCACAATAAATACATCAGGTAGTATTTTTGCATTCATATGGGCAGTGGAATTCAAAGGGTGGGCACTAGGAGAATCCACACCATGGGGAGGAGTGTCACTGACACTGTTTACATTGACACTCATAATAAAAAGATGACTTTCACAAGTTTCATTGTGTTAAAATTCTTTACCAGCAATGCCCCCTTATTGCCTGCAGCAGAGTGACTGCTTTCATTCGTTGCTCTTGGAATGTGTGCGTACATGAGCACCGAATCCTGGGATAGTGTTTATTATGCTGACCCCAACAAGTACCTCTTTATCCCCTTCGCCTATTTCGTGAGCACCCCCTGCCACCCCATCTTTTTAAATCACTATAGAACTATGTGAGGACACTAGAACCAGAAGATCTGGGTTGAAACTTAACTTCTTTTACTAGCTGTGTTACTTTGGGTGAATTAATCTTTCTCTAGTTTGTTCCCTAATGGTAAAATCCTGCAAGAGGGAAACTTTCTATTGTGAAGAATCCAAGTGGGTTGAGAATGCACCTCGCTGGTGAGCCCATCTCTACTCCTTCACGTGTGATCTTTAACGAGTAAGATGCCTGGCTCCTTCCCCAAGACACTGCTGAATGGGCATCAGGATTGTTAAAAGCTTCCTGTGACTATAAGGTGCCGTGAGGTTCAGGAGCAACTGTCTGTGGTCAGCTTGGCGAGTATCTGCGAGTCCTATGTAAGGATCTGTATCAGTTGCTAGTTTTCATTTTTTGTTTGTGAGAGAATTTTAAAAACTAAAATCAAGTATGTTTTAAGCCAGGGGTCACCACCTAAAATGCCTGTAGGAGCCAGCGAAATCAGGGTGAGCAATGGGGACTGCAGCAGTTATTTGAACTCTGCTCTAGCCGCTGTCACCAGGCAGAAATGATCAGGTCACATTGTTTCTAGAATAGTTGGAAATCTATATTTTTATATGAAACTTTCCAAGTTTTAAATTTTGGGTCATATTTTATAGGCTAAGCAAACATGTTTGTAAGTGTTGTATACTTGAAATCAATATAATATTGTGTATCAACTATACTTAAATAAAAAAAAATAAATAAAAAAGCAAAATAAATAAAATCATGTCTGTGGGCCAGATTTGGCTTGGGAGCTGCCAATGTGCAACTTCTGTTTTTAAACTTGGCATTTGCAGGACCAGTAGGGCAAACTAGTGTACTGATCACGAATCAACGAAAGTTAAAGTTGTCATTTTTCATTATATTAGTTCTAGCATCTATAGGGACTGACTTTAAGCAATTTTATCTTTGATGTTAGGTAGTTTGATGATTTGAGGACTTCAGGCTTTGATCTCTTCATTCATATCACTCATTCCAGCAGGGTGCCCCCCTGAGGGGGTATACTCTCATCTTCATTTTGATGGTGGTACTCCAGAGTACCTTCAGAGAGCAGAACACTGTTATCACACTGGCAGGGCTAACCATGACTAGATTTTCACACATATGATGCCAAGTCCCAGAAGATTTCCTGGAGATCCAAGGCAGAGCTTCACTTAGAATATGATTCACCAGTGGCAAGCCCAGTGGAGGGCAGGCTTTGAAGCCTGTGAGCACCAGTGAGCGCCAGTGAGGCCTAAGGCACTCCTGTTTCCAGGCAGTGCCAAAACCACTAGAAGACTATTTCTTAACTTTGTTATATAAATTAAAACTTCTCAGTTATTCACTTGCAAGATGCCTCTAAGTGAAATAAGAATAATTCATATTCACATTTTTGTTTCAAAGAAGTCAACAAAAAAAACCGAAAGACATAACTTCTATTGAGTGATAATTAGATCTTTTAGGATATGATTAAAAACCTGTTTTTGAGGAAATCTCTCATTTTTTTTTCTTTTTGGATTATTTTTAGATCATGATGCTGGAGATGGAGTCCTGAACCCAGAAGAAGCAAGTATGATTCCAGAAGAATTAAAATGGGCATCCAGAACTGAAAGTATGAAATTAAGTGTAAGGGAAAGAGAATTAGACAGTTCATCAAGCAGCTTAAGCACACAACCAAATCCTCACAAGCTCAGGGAAGATGGCCAAGAATTGCCTCGAATTTATAGCTCTTTAGCACCCACTAGTGGACATTTGTTAAACAATGAGGCTAAAACAGAAATAGATGGAAATCTGTTTACAAAATCTCATAGTCGATCATCACCCCAAGTTCAACCAGTGGGAAGTGTGGGACAGCTTCATGGTATCACACCTGTAAAGCTGTGTCGCAAGGAGTTACGTCAGATTTCTGCGTTGGAACTATCATTACGACGTTCCAGTCTGGGAGTTGGGGTTGGATCTATGACTGCTGATTCCATTGAAGTAGCTAGGAAACAAGAGTGACTTAAAAACTTAGGCATTTAATGATAGAACTTTTAATTTAGTACATATATAAGATACCTTTTTCTAACCTGGTAAAAAGTCAAGCTTAAGTTCACTAGCTCTTCTCTCAGGATAGAGGAAGAGAAGGAAGGAATCCTTTTGTAGTCTACAGATGTATACATCTTCTATAGTATATTTGGGGAGTTTTAATGTGTATTTCCACAATAACCAAATACACACACTTTCCAATACTATCAAGTAATGGAATATTTAAATACATCCATATATAAATTTGCTTAAAATTTTTTCCAGGCATATTTGAAGAACAAAACTAAGAATAGAATAATAAACTAATATATCCATCAAATGTAATGTTATTATATAATATAAAAATATAAAAGTATAATACATTAAATGTAATATCTTACAAGTTTATATTATTGTTGTTTGCAAATACAAGTATAAAAAGATCCAGTTAAATAGTGCTTGTGTGAGAGGGAGAGTCACTTGCTGCATATATGTTGGCATAGCTGAAAATTGTGCCAAAATGCCATCTCTGGGCTAAGGCAACTAGGTAGGTTTACGGGTAAGGTCAATTTATGGGCTTCAGAGCCCACAGATAGTATTGGAAAGTGTGTGTATTTGGTTATTGTGGAAATAAACATTAAAACTTCAGAGCCCACAGAGGTTGAGTGATTAGTCTTGACTTTTAAAACATGGCCTCTACTCTTTTTTGGAATTGTCTTTAGAATGTTATATTATTGATTTGCTAATAGTATGGAATATACATTTTCATCTCTCTCCTGCCCTATATACTCAACACATCTCTCTTGCTACTAAAATTGGGAGAAATGGACGCAATTCCATGGAACAGGGAAACAATAATAGAATGATACTGAAGCATTCTAACATTTCAAGGAAAAGAGATCTTGTTGCATGGAGTAAACCTATAAAGCCTGAAGTCTAGCCAGAGGATCTTTAGCTAATACTCAGATTTTTCTCTATGACCTGCTCAGTTGGGTCTTGCACACAGGCAGGCCAGACTATATACGGAGGCTGTAAATATGTAAATGAAAATTTTCTTAAAATATTTTTTTGGTGTAAATTTTATATAATATAAACTTCAGTTTGGAATTAAGAACTAAATATTGATTTGCCCAAAAAATACACTTTGTACTTTTTCACATTTTTCAGTCACAGTAATCATTCCATTATAATGACCAGAGGTATTAGTTTGTGAATTTATGTTGTTATTTTTGTTACTTTTCCAAACTTGTAAAATAAAGTTGTTTCTTAAACTAATTAGCATTTGGGTGGGGAGGAGCAAAACCGCCCTTACTCTGAGCCTACTCACTTAGAATCACCCACTGCCTGTGCCTCCATTTTTTCTTCTCTGATGATATAGTAATTTTTTCTTTTGACCTTTCTTCTGTTGCTATTGACCTGACCATCTTATCTAAGATGCAAACTGTCACCCTGTGCTCAAAGACTTAAGGTTTCCTCTTTCTAGTTGCTATCTCCTAGGGAGTAGGGTTCCTTGGCCCCACAGCTAAAAACAGTACCTATAGGAGAAGAATAACAAACTTATAAACTGGTGAAGAGTCTCTATTTATCTCTTAAACATAGTACTAAAAATTTATTTAAATTATAGGTTAAATAGACTTCTGTGGACTTAACCTGGGAACTAAACCCTGTGTGTATATATCATCACCCAGTAAGAAACTGGTTCAAACTGACTTGGAAATTTTAATTTTAACAGGGACTATTTGAAGTCAGATTCTGGTTTTAAGCCCCTCTTTCTTCCCTTGGCTTGTATGATATATACTTAATATATATCATATTGTGTGTGTGTGTGTGTGTGTGTGTGTGTGTGTGTGTGTGTGTGTATAAAATGGCAAAAGG